GCCTTATATTGGATCAGTTCGTTGACTATCCTTCAAATACTACGTACCTTTCTGACAATTAGTTAAGGATTTAACCTCTCAACTTCATACTTTATTCAGTTGGTCACTTTATACACATATGACTCGACCTGACCCCATACGATTCCAGATAAAATGTAGAGGAGACAACTTAAAATTAATTGCCTATTTAGAAGTTAACTTACTTACTGAAGGGTCCTTAACTTGGACTCTCAGAGCACCACAACTTATATCCATTGATATAAAATGCGATATTTTAATTTTTTAAAACAACTTTACTCTCCTCTAATTTTTATGTATCTTAACTAAGACATGTATCTTAACTCCGCATGTCTATACAACTTATCAACTGAAATCAACTTCATCAACTCTCATTCATAAACAACTTTAAATATCATCATATATCATTCTATGTCAATGCATAATGAACTATAATCATATAACATCATTTATATAAATGAATCACCATACTTCAATAGTTAAATAACTTAAAATATCACATTTTATTTTAGCATACCACACTCGACACCATTTTTCTCGCGCCCCAACATTATTGAGACAAAGAGTCTCAAGCTTGCCCATGCCTGACACCAACCCATTGTACCCATGTGGATGAGATAATGAACTTTTAAGTCAATTATGCCTGGCATGGCCAAACTCATGCTCAACATCATTCAAGTAGAGAGTATGTGCTTAACTCACGTCTAGTGTCACAATAATGGCGCCCAACGTCATCTAGGTAAAAAGTCTCTATCTTAATCATGTCTTGCACCACTCATGTTGAGTTCAGTGTCACCAAGTTAGACAGTCCACTGAATAGTCATGCTTGATGCCTATAACTTAACGCTTGGCGTGACTAAGTTAGAGAACTCCTTATTAATCCATGCCCAATGCTACCAATCATGTGTCCAACTTAATCAAGGTAGAGAGCCCCTAACTTAAGTCATGTTCGATGCCATGAAGACTTGTCTGATATGGTGAAGATTTATGCACTTGGCAAAATCTTCATTTAGCTCAAACCAACGAGAATTCCAAACCAAACCACATGCAAACATATTTTCAACACAAATACAACTTATATAATTCATATTCAACAAAAAAACATCACATGCAGCCATTACACTTTAAAATTCATCAATATCAACTTATAGCACTTTCAAGAAAACCATAACTCAACCAAATCATCACACCATCCGAATTAAATCAAAGGTAGCCAACAAATCATGAATTCTAACATTAGTTTAACAACACAACTCAACAAAAATTAATTACAAACTTCCTTTACCTCGAATCGCTCCAAAATGAGAAGAGGAAGAAAAGTTGGAAGAAGAGCAAGAAAGATTTCGCATGGCTCACATCTTGAATTCTTGACCTCCAAAAGCTTCGAATATGATGATCTACTGTTGTTGCCTAGTTGAGGGATGAGATTTGAAATAATCAACAAAAATAGAAGAAGGAAAGAATGTCTTTGGCTTTAGAGTCCCTCTCTTTAACTTCTCTATACTTTTCTCAAGAACTGAACTTATGATTTCACATATTAAGAAAACCTTATATATCATTCTTTAAACTAGATCAACTTAACTCTAATTGTTACTACCTCAACTAGTTTAACTCCGAAAGGTCTCTTGACCCCCTAAGGTTTAAAATAACAGGAATTACAATAGTTCAACAATTAATCAACATATAACATATAATTTTCAATAAATTAAAATTCACAAAATATTATAGAATATGTGAGAATTAATTTGATAAAAAAAGGTAGGAAATAAAGTGAAATTTGTAGTTATTTTGTAAAGTGGAATTATGTGAGAAATATAGTGAAATTGGTATTTTAAAATTGTATTTTATATAGTTGAATTGTTGTGCAAAGCAAATAATATTTATAATTGTTATTTTTCCCTCTCTTCACAATATAGTTTTAAGTAATATTATTTTTTCATGTAATTTTACATGTCTCCTAAATTTCACAAGAATCTCCTCAATTGATAAGACATAAAAAATAATGTGAGAATCACATTTTTTTCCTTCAAATCTACTCTAATCTAACCCTCTCCCTATTAAATCAATCGACCAAAGAAAGGCTAAATAAAATTTAAATCTTAGTTCGAGAAAAACTAAAACTACTTTAAAAAATATATATCTTTGCTTCTCTATTGAGTGATTCTTATCTTTAAACAATATTATATTTATTGTTGTAAATAGACATTAATCTTGAATAGATTTCATCATTCCCTTTATATGCTTAGTTTTTTTTTTCAAATTCAAGTTATCTCTTGGTTGAACCTTAAGAATTAACCCATTGAAATATTGAAATTCATTTAAGTAGTTAACTTTTCTCGACATATATTTTTTTCATACAAATGGATCAAGATTTAAATCTTGACTACATGCTCTTGGGACAAAATTATATACTAACCATATTATATCTTGTTGGTTCAATATGTTAGAAAAGATGATTGATCCAAGAGGGAGGGGAGAATGAATTAGATTTACAAAAATTATTTTCAATTTTTCTTGAATAAAAACTTTTCTAAGTATTTCCAACTAAACCAATTGATCTAAACCATGATAGAATGAATATGTTGAAAATTTAACAATGGAAGTTCTGAATTAAACTACCCTACATGTTATGCTTTATACAGATTAATCAACATGCATTCAGATTAAGCAAGTAAGTAAAATTTAAGTAAAGGTAGGAGAAACATTCACAAATATTTATACTGGTTCAGTCACGATCATTATGGTCTACATTCAATCTCCAATCAACTCGATAAAGTATTTTCACTAATCTTTAATTTTCATAAAGTTTACAATCATAAATCACATGCAAAATACTTTAGCAAAACTAAAGAAACCACTTCTTGAACCCCAAGAAGCAACCCTTGTAGAACCCCACTACAAGAAACCTTTTACTCTTGAAAAACCTACTCAAGAACTTTTCTACTTTGAGAAACCTACTCAAGAAATACAAAAGAATAGGGAAAG